CTATCTGTCATTAAAAATATAAAGCTGTACCATCTATGAAAACCTCTTGCCTGACTATCTTTAATTTTGAACATGTAGCTCAGGACATAGCCACTTTTATTATCACCAAACAAAACAGACCCTTCTCTTCCTTGGCAGAATTCGCAGCTCAAACTTAAATTTTACAATTATAATTTAAATTTAGCCTAAAATAAAATAAAGTACACTTTACATGTTACCTTCTCACACATGCTTGTCTTAATGCAGCATATAGTTGTTGTTCTTGTGGATATCGGGAACCCTTATAAGTTACCAAAGGATTTTCCTCGTCTTGAGTTTTGAAACCTTTTATTTCAGAATTATGTATCGGCTTTGCATCACCTAATGCATCCAAGGGGGGCAATGAAAATGCACATGACGCACAAGATGCTGGTGCAGGCCTATTGGAATTTATAGAAGGTTCTTTTTTATTCGATAATGTTTCTTTAGAATTATCCAAATGTGGTTGGTCTACTAAAGAATTTCTTTCACTACTAACAGAAAGATGATCTGAAGTATCTTTTGCATGAAAGGCCTGTGTACAAAAAATTACACTTGGTCCATGAACCTCACAAAAGTGTACAAGAGACACAATTGCATTCATTGTGTACCGAAAAAAAAAAAAAAAAAAAAGAACAGATGTAAAACATTCAACAGTTCAAATTTTTTTATATTTATACTTAAATTGATATGCAATTTTATATCCTAAAATATCCGATGATCTTGACTGATTGAGTATTAAGTTTACATGTCTAGTTGACAAAATAATTAAAAAGCTGCAGCGAGTTTGCCGTTTAAGGGAACAAAAACTTTTTCATTTGGGATGTAAACAAAATATTCAAAGATCGATCTGAATAGCGAAAATGTTAGAAATTAAGGATATTCCGTATTTCTTAACATTTTCTCTTGCTTAATTAACTTTTCCATATATGTTTGACAGATCAATAAGGAAATGAAAATTTTTTAAAATTATAGAATGATATACATCAATTTAAATTTTTATCTTTTGTTTTTCGATTCAGCTTATTTTTACAAGTTTTTAGTGGATAAGACAGTTAGCCGATTAGAACGGTCCAGAAGAGTCCCAAATTTTATGTTTCTATATTTTAATCAGAACGCATTTACATTTTTATATAAAAGATGCATTGTCATTTTTTTTTTAATTAATGTCTTTAAATCAATAGGTCACTCTGAAGTGCTTTTATTATATTTTTTATTAATGGTCTTAATCTAAATCAAATACAAATTCAAATCTATCACATTCTATTGAAAAAAAATTAATTTTAAAGTGGGAATAATCAATTTCCTAATATTAATATTTTACCTCATTAATCCTTTTATTAATACGAAAATTGATAGTATTTTAACGAATCACACAATAATATACTTTAAATTCATATTGAGATATATCAAAGGACAAGCATCACCCAGAAAAAAATGGTAGCCGGATTTTATTTGCCGGGTATTTATTATTAGGGTTAGTATTAGAGTTAGGGATTAGGATT